ACATCTGTTTGTTTTTAAAAATGTTAAATGAATGTCTTTTAAATGTTAAGTGTTTGATGTGGTGAGTTTGTGAGTCATTCTGGATTCCACTCTGGGAGACAACCAGCAGACAAATGAAACCAATCTATCAATTAACAGTAAAGACACACTTTTTCATCAACAACTAAAAATATTCATGCATTTTTGCATCCCTGGCAGCCAAATGACATTGAAAAGTTAGGAATGATTGCATGATGACAATTTGCCAGTCATATTTTAAGTCTCTCTACAGCTGATCATGACGACCAGAAGTGCCTACCACCACAAACAGTTGCCATATGCATGTCACAGGCTGGTGTTTACAATCTATATCAAGCAGCTTTGTATGTTGGAAAATATAAACAATATATTGCCCACAGTTGCCCTTTATTTGGGAGAAGTAGGACAAACCTGTAATTTTTGCTGCCTTTTCTTCCTGGTTTACTCTATTCTCTTCATCATCTTCATTATCTTCTTCAAAATCATCTAAATTTCCAATATCTGCTTGTTTCATGCTCATCAGACTTGCAAGGCTTTGCATGTCTTCATCCCTTAACAACAATAAAAACATATTATTCTTACCGTTCATTGCTATTAGGCCAATACAAATAAGCTGTGGACACCAGTAATACTAGTCATAATTTCTTGCCACACAGTACCCATTAATCCATTCAATTTCATCTCCATTTATTTGCATCCTGGATGGCAACTTGTTGTCTCTGACTGGACTCAATCTCTTCCCCAAAATTAATGTTTTTTTAATCTATGTGTGTGCTATAGATAACAACTGCACAAAGTAAGTCCATATTGTACTTTCATATTGTTTTAGGACAGAACTTTCCAAAGTTTGATGACACACTTTTTAGACATTTATCCTTTTGAGACATGATAATTGAGTTTAACTAGCAAACTGGAGGTTAAATCAACTCCTTTTAAGAGTTTCATACAATATATATGATGTAATGTAATGTAATGCAATCTATCTATCTATCTATCTATCTATCTATCTATCTATCTATAAATGCTCTATGCGTAATGAGTACCTTAAAGACAAAAGAACCAATGAACGAAATCACACCAAATTTGGCAACAAAATGTCTCACAACACAAAGAGTGACTATCACTCAAAAAAATATGATTTTGTCATTTGGGAGTGGTAGTTGCTGGGATTTATAGTTCACCTATAATCAAAGAACATTCTGAACTCCATCAATGATGGAATTGAACCAAACTTGGCACACAGAACTCCTATAACCAACAGAAAATACTGGAAGTGTTTTGGTGGGTATTGACCTTGAATTTGGGAGTTGTAGTTCACCTACATCCAGAGAGCACTATGGACTCAAACAATGATGGATCTGGACCAAACTTGCCACAAGAACTCAATACGCCCAAATATGAACACAGATGGAGTTTGGGGGAAATAGACCTTGACATTTGGGAGTTGTAGTTACTGGGATTTATAGTTCCCCTACAATCAAAGAGCGTTCTGAACCCCACCAACAATAGAATTAGGTCAAACTTCCCACACAGAACCCCCATGACCAACAGAAAATACTCAAGGCCATCCAGTCCAACTCCCTTCACGAGGGCAAGAAAACGTAATCAAAGCCCTCCTGACAAAGAGCCATCCAGCCATAGATATAGATATGATTCACACACAGAGAGATATAGTATCATAGATTTGAAAGGGACCCCTAAAGAAGGTCAATGATATGTTGCATGTTCTAGAGTAGGCAAACCAGACGCTCTCCACATCAGCACTGACAAAGAAACAGCAAGCAATGCTGTTTACCCACAAGCAGAAAGACATTACATATATTACAAACCAACACTTTCTCATTTCTTTATTTTCCAGATCATCAGACTGGGCCACAGCAACGTGTGGTAGGGGACAGCTAGTACAATATAAATGAGGTTTGGGGGTATCTTCCCAACCTAACGAAGTATAGATTGCCAGAAAGGCCAGTGGGGTCTCCTTCTCTGGAGGTTTTTTAATTGAGGTTGGATGGCTGTCTGTTGAGAGGGCTTTGACTGTGTTTTCCTGATTAAAGGGGGTTGGCCTGGATGCCCTCTGGGGGTGTCTTTCAACTCTGCACTCCCCTTCCCCCTACAACCAGCATTTATTATTTAGTTATTTATTTTCAATATTTATACATATTCCACCCTTCTCACCCTGAAAGGACTTTGGGCGGATCACAGAACACATACATGGCAAACATTCAATGCCATTAAACAGACAGGACAGACAACAGATAGAGGTATAGGTTGACATTTTCCCAACTTTGGCATTTCCCAACTTTGGCATCAGTTTCTGGCCACAGGGGGTGCTGTCACATTAGGAGGACTTAGCCTTCAGCCAGGCAAAAAACTTAGCTCTCCTTTTCTCCATCCAGCTGGGCAAAGAGCCTAGTTCTCCTTTTGGCTGCCAGAAAGGTTTAGTTCTCCCCCCTCTTTGCTTCCCCCACCCCCCATGGCTTGGGCCGGGGAGCTGAGGACAACAAAAAGGAGGAAGGCTTCAGGCTTGGCAATGCCTGATTAGCTACCCACTGCTGCTGTTGCTCTCGCTGGTAACTCCTTCTCCTCTACAGTTAGCCAGCTTGCTCCCTCACTCTTGCCCCTCTTGTGAGGGCAAGAGTGGGGGGAGCCTTTTTCATGTAATAGACTTGTAGACAACAGGCAGCACACTAGTGTGTCGTGGGACACAATCTGGAAGGCTCTGTATCAGGAGATTGGGCACCTGAAGACCAAGATGAAATTGCAGTAGGAATTCCCAACTCAAATTTTATTTTCTTAATGAAATGTGCTACAGGAGCTTACTGTGTGTGAGTGAATGAAAATCAACTGAAACAAATATTAACAGAGAATAATCTCACGATCTGGAAATGCAAACACACTTTGTTGCAATATTTAAAAAACAAAATTAATGCAAGAGTTCATAACAGCACAAAGAACTTACGTTGCTTTTCCTTCCCTCAGAAAAATACATGATAAAGAAAACTGCAGGGTGGCAGATAAAACTTTCTTAGACAAAGGCTTGAATTTCAACTTGACATCTGTCTGTGTAGGCATTGGACTGGCATATTGCTTCATGTTAATATTGCTTGTAGCAAGAGCTTTCCGGCGTCCAGAAGGAGATTCCTAAAACAAGATATCAATCATTATGAAGTAATATGATTAAAATCAAATATTTTCATACAATGAGTCATTGGTTAATTATTTGATGCACACTGTCTTTCTTCTATGATTTCCAAAGTGTTCTCCAATCTTGGCACTGAAAAATAAGATCAGTGTTCAAACTTTACAACATGTAGCATGTAACAAATTAGGTTACAGCTGAGCAAAAAATAATACAAGGTAAGTGGTATTCGAAAAGCTACAAATGCTACAGGTTTACATACAAAAGGAGTTTAAAAAGAGGTGTAAGGGTTTTCACTGTTTTCATAACACACCCAGACATTCATCTTGGCATTGGGATAAAAAGATGTAACTTTTCAAAATTCAGCACAATAGCAGATCAGTATTGTTCTTATTGATACACAGAAATTGAATTCCCTGCTCACATTTTTCCTTTAAAATATGTCCGGACTTCTGAGCTAATCTTCATTGACCATCAGTGGCAACAAGAGGAAAGAAAATGTAATATATCTTTAACTGAACTCCATATGAACTATTTGCATATCCTTAAGGATTCATTCTGTGGGGATCTACATTCTTCTCAAGGGCTTGTTGCATTTTAAAAATTAACTCATATTATCTACATACAGCAATAATTTTGGTTCATACTTCTATGCATAATCTTACAGGAAGATTAATACTCATTCCCCCAAAACCTTAAGGTATTCTTTGATCTGCCTTTGATTAGGTAGTTCCAAAGAACTGGCCCTTTAATACCCAAATTCTGGCACTTTAGCATGGCTCTCAGCTCTACAATCCTGACATTATAAATCCCAAGAATTTTACTCTCCCATCCCTGCCACTGAATTTTGCACTTTCCCTTAGCTCTATCTAGGAATGGTCTATCAGACCCTTGGAACTCAGCACTTTTATTGCTCCCATGGCACTGTTTTCATCGAATCATAGAGTTGGAAGAAACCTCGTGGGCCATCCAGTCCAACCCCCTGCCAAGAAGCAGGAAAACTGCATTCAAAGCACCCCCGATAGATGGCCATCCAGCCTCTGTTTAAAAGCTTCCAAAAAAGGAGCCTCCATCACACTCTGGGGCAGAGAGTTCCACCGCTGAACAGCTCTCACAGTCAGGAAGTTCTTCCTAATGGAATCTCCTTTCTTGTAATTTGAAGCCATTGTTCTGCATCCTAGTCTCCAGGGCAGCAGAAAACAAGCTTGCTCCCTCCTCCCTGTGACTTCCTCTCGTATACTTATATATGGCTATCACATTTCCTCTCAGCCTTCACTTCTTCAGGTTAAACATGCCCAGCTCTTTATGCCGCTCCTCATGGGACTTGTTCTCCAGACCCTTGATCATTTTAGTTGCCTTCCTCTGGACACATTCCAACCTATCAACATCTCCCTTCAATCGTGGTGCCCAGAACTGGACACAGTATTCCAGGCGTGGTCTAATCATGATGTTCTTTTGTGTGATATGTTTCTGTTTTGTTTTTATTTTATTGCATTACATTTTAATTCTGTGCTCTCTGGGCTAGTCCCTTTGTAAGCCGTCCCGAGTCCCTTTGAGGAGATGGAGGCGGTATATAAAAAATAAAGTTATTATTATTTGAAACACAGGAAGATGAGTCCACAGCAGACACTCTGCTGGCCGTTGTATTGGATCACACGTCGGACACTTCCTAACTGTCTAGGACCGTGTGATGTATCGGCGGATAATGTGAGCAGATCCCAGTAAGGTGGCCTTTTGCAGCTGGCTGATGGTAATCCTGTCAGCGCCAATTGTGTTTAAGTGCAGGCCAAGGTCTTTAGGCACTGCACCCAGGGTGCCGATCATCACTGGGACCACCTTTACTGGTTGTTGTTGTTGTTGTTATTATTTGATTACATATTATACTCTGACATTCTGCTTGGCAAAAAAAGTCAGGTATCTTCAGGAAAGGATGCTTGAATGCTTGATAATGCTAATATACATTATTCAAAGGCAATAACAGTGGCATGATCTTCCTATTTAGATAATATTTAATTAATGGTAACAATGGGTGAAAGACTTGGCCAGCTTGAATAATCTTTACGATTCCCCATGAATGTTGAGGGAAGGTGAGCATAGATCAATAAGCTTGCACATGTTTTTATTTACGATGCACATAACTATGATAAACTGTTCTGATATAAAGGTCCATCAGGCCACTGGATATACCATATTTTTCAAAATTTACTGTACTCAACAAATACAATATTACAATGAATTATACAGCATTAATATGTAACATTAAATCAACTACAAATCATGTAAAAGGTATCAAAAGTTTAAATGAGTACAATGCAAGTCTCAGCAGGGAAGCTCATAATATATCCAAAATCTATAACAGGGGTCCACAAACTTTTCAAACAGAGGGCCAGATCATAGTCCCTCAAACTGTTGGACGGCCGGATTATAATTTGAAAAAAACATGAATAAATTCCTATGCACACTGCACGTATCTTATTTGTAATGGAAAAAACACTGAAAAACAATACAATAATTAAAACGAATAACAATTTTGACAAATATAAACTTATAGGTTTTTCAATGGGAAGTGTGGGCCTGCTTTTGGCTGATGAGATAGGATTGTTGTTGTTGGGTGCTTTCAAATAATTTCAGACTTAGGTTGACCCTGAGCGAGGGCCGGGTAAATGAGCTTGAAGGGCCGCATTCGGCCCCTGGGCCTTAGTTTGAGGACCCCTGATCTATAACAACAACGTGATAGTTGCTAAACAGTTCACTAAGAGATCCAAACTGTAAGACAATTCAATTAAAACATACACCAAAAACATACATCCTGTCCTCAAACAACAGAAAAAGAGATTTCAACTTTGAAGAGTTTACAGACAAGAAATTAAAATCTCTTTGACCTCCTTAAAAAGGAATAACAAAGATAACAATTTGGCAATTTAATCAGAATTATTCTGATTATTTTAATAGGAAAAGCACAATCTGCAAACATAGTACACATAATGCCTCTTTCCTTCCTATTCCTGCAACTTGGGTCAGGATTCAACATATAGACTTTAGTAGCAAATGGGTGAGACTAGCAGAACCTGGTAGAACATATTCAATCCATAGCAACTGGAGTTTCAGAGGACAAGAAAATGCCTGATGCCAGCTTTGAAAACCCCTACTTTTTCAGTTAGCAAGGGTTGGGCAGGCTGCATGGGAGGCGAGCAGGAATAAATTTGGGAAATTGGTTTATTATTTGGCTTTACCATTTATTTAACTCTTCTACCACCTCTTCGATTGGGTCACTGCTCCTCAAAGTTGATGTCCCATGATGAATCCAGGACAACATCCGTCTCTTGGACAATGACACTGAAGCACAGACTGAGACTGCGCACTTTTAAACAATGGAATATTCCTAATATGCATTTTCAGCTAATTCAGTGCTTGAAGACATAGCATATGAGTCTTTATGGGAACCTGATAGGTTGCAAAAAGAAGATGAGAGATTCTTTTTCATTTTCATGTAAAGAAAAATAACACGTTTAAAGATCAATACTGCCTCTAGACAGAAACTGGAAGCTGTCTTCTGGTGGCTCAGTTCTTTAGCAAAATACCAACAATGTGGGCAGGGCAAAGTGGAGACTTTCACTGTAAGAACAATAGGGAACTAATGAAGCGTAAACATTTCCTTAAAACGATGGTAGGCACACCTTAGTAACGAATCAACATTCCCTGGTATTACAAACAAGCACTCTTTTGATGGAACTGGTAGAGGCAGGACAGTCAGTTCTTTAGTTGGGTGTTAAGACAGTATAACCACAGCTGAAATTGTCTGGCTTTGGGTTTTGCTATTCTCGAAATTTGCATATGATCTTTAGATTTTGTCTTCCCTTTGGAAAGGAAAGTATATGTTATGAACCAGACAGAATGACTCACTGGGAATGGAAAGGGGAATGTGGATTCCAACCCATGCATTTCCTAAGGGGCCTCAAGCCAGTCTACACCTGTCATCCCAACCTACCTCACCCTTAGAGGAAAGGTAGGATGAATATGATATTTAAAAACCTGACTATTTTACCATTCAGCAAGTTAGAACGATTTTTTTCTTAGCTTTTCCCAAATCATTAACTGCCCATTTGGAGAAGAAAAAATAATACCTTTACAATAAAGTATAACAATAAATGTATAAGCAAGGGTTCGTGATCCTTTATAGCTGTCCAGTTTTCTGGAAGCTGATCATCATTCCCAGGTCCACGTATTTGAGTCAAATATATGCTCGGGAATTCTCCCACTGCTGTAAGAGGAACTTCCATCTTGAATATTGATACAGTAACAGCACATTTAAAATGTGTTTTGTCCATATTATTGAACTGACATTATGTATGGGATGCATTGCGTATTTAATTGATATTATCATTCCAAGGCAGTGACATCTCCAGCTCATCCCCTGTTTGGGTATCAGCCAGCACGTCAATGACTTAAATCAAGAAATAGTTTTCTAAGATCTACAGAGACACTCGCTGGAACACCTCAGCAAGCGAGAGTCCAAAAGTGGCAGGGTCAAACCCAGAACCTCAATCAGTGGCTGATACCAAATGAGAGACTCCCCCCTGGGCACACAAAAAACTGGGCAACTTGGAAGGCGCTGAACAGACTGCACTCTGGCACCAAAAGATGCAGGTCCAACCTTAAGAAATGGGGCTACAAAGTGGAATCCACGACATGCGAGTGTGGAGAAGAGCAAACTACAGACCACCTGCTGCAATGCAACCTGAGCCCTGCCACATGCACAATGGAGGACCTTCTTGCGGCACCCCAAGTGGCCAGATACTGGTCAAAGGACATTTAATCAACTACCAAGCTTGCAAACTTTGTGTTTTGTTTGTTTGTTTGCTAAAAAATGCAGCTCTAAAATTCCCCCTCTCCTGGCCAAATACCGTTATCATATTTGTGTCTGTTGTCTATAAGACTTCTTTCCTTTACTTGAAAACTGTCTAGGAAACCACAGCTGGCAGTTTGTGGACTAGCACTGACC